TCCGTCCGCGTGTCTGCCCAGCACCCGACGCGCCCATCAACACGCACGCTGTCCGCGCCCGATGCGCACGTGCTGCCCGCTGCACCCGGCGACCGAGACCCGCATATCGTCCGTTCGTGATCGGTTTGACGTGTTGATTAGAATCAACTAAAGGCCAAACCTATCCGTCCATTAGGTTGTGGTGTTCAGACGAACTTTACCAACGGTACTCTACATCGTCTCAGAGTCGGCAAAAATTTTAAAAGGTAAACGTCCATATCCTAACTATAGATTCCGCTGCGTTAGGATTTATTTCGATAAAGTTCAACGTTGTGCATGTTGTTTGACGTTCCTAACAGAACCCAACATGAAGGAGACGCTGGAACTCTACGACGAACATAAATTGTTTAAGAAGACGTCGGTGACAGAAACTCGACGACCGGGGTTGGCCAGAAACTATGGTGAACGGTCTTGGTTGCAGGTTCTCACTCCGACGGACGGCTCAACCTCAGCTATGGAAAACGCTGTTGTGACGAGGGGACGCTGGCGACATCTTGCTCGGCGAACAGGGAGGAGAACTCGCTGGAGAAGAAGAAGGTGCGCACAAGATATTTTTTTTTTTAAACTGCGAATAGAGAGATGAGAGCAGGTTGCTATGAGGAAGATGAGGTTATCTGATAAAAGAGTCGGGATTTATGAACGATAGAGAGACGTGGGGATCGTGCGATATTTTGCCAAAAGTATCGCAACAAATTTTCAAACAAGTGGACTTGGGCAGCGAGGAAGAAGAAGATGGATCTGGCGATGATTAACTTAAATTGGGCCACAAAATAAACTTTCAACTGGCTGACAAAAAAAAAAAAAAAGAGGAAATTACATGGTCAACGATGTCGAATCAATTTTTTTACACAATAACGATCAAATAAAAAACTTTAGCAAATATACATTCTCGTGCCATTTTAATTACAAACATATGAGACGTTTCGTTTAGGAACTAGAATATATTATCTTCAATTAAGAGAAGTTATTGGGAGCAGTTACCATATTACACGTCTACTTCCTTCTCATCTCTCCACTCAATTTTGTTTTAAACCCCTTTTCTCTTTCTTTATTTTTTTATCGATTTTATCTCACAAAGGCAATACATGAATTGACAGCAAGTATCACTCAGTTTCCTCCCATTTCTTATTTTTTTTTTTCTTTTTCTGTATTTTTTTCTCAAATTGAAGACAACCCTCCTTAATATGCCTTTTAACGGCGACGGCTGAGATTGTCGTGACCAGGTAAGAGCCGCGGCCAGAGGTTTGTACGGCGGGTAACGACGGTTGATTTAGCGATTTTGACGGCGACCCAACTCTTCTCTTTACTAGCTATGTCGGGTAATAATGGCGGATCGGAGATTACAACGTCTGACAAGCCTAGTGATTTCGAAATGAAGATTGAGTGGCAAATGAATTGATTCCGACTTTGGACTTCACATTTTTTAGGTTTATTGTAGTTTTTTCTTCACAGATGGTTGGTTTTGTCTCAGTAGAAAATATTTTTGGATATTTTTTATTTAATAAATTTGTGGAAAAATTGTACACTGGAGCGGTTTTCTAGCCATTTTTTGAAGTAAAAAATGAAATATGGCCACTTTTTGTAAAAAAATGAAATTTAGCCATTTTGGTACTTAAAAGTACAATTATACTCTTACTTATTATTTACCTACCAAAGATATTAAAACGAAAAACAAATAAAAAAAAACTGAAAAAATGGAAAAAAAACACGCACAAGATTTTTTCCTCTCTTCCTCCTCCCTTCTTTCTCTCTTTCTTCTCTCCTCTTCTTTCTGTTCGCGTCGCGTCCTCTGTAAAAAAAAAAAATTTCATCTTCCCAAAATTCACGTAAGTGAATCATCTGGAACAGAAATCGTCTCCAACACATCAAGGGAATCCCTTTTTGAGAAGAAAAAAGGTACATTGACCTAAACCTAATTTTTTTTATTATGTTAAATAAAAAAAATTCAAAATAGATTTTTATATTTTTGTTCCCAACATTATTGATTTATGTTGCACCATTTTATTTTGTTGAAATAATATTTATTTATAGTTAAAAAATTCGATTTTTTGTGCTTGAAAAGGAGGGGTCGTGTGTTAGAGTTTATTACTTTTGTTGTAAATTTTCTTGAGCCGTTTATTTGGAGTTTTAGGAGTTGAAGAATCGCTTATTGAAGAATAAACAATTTATTGAACAAAAAACGGTTTATTGAACAAGAAAGGACAAGAAAGATTTTCGTCCGGTTCAACACGCAGTTTCTTGAGCAAGAAACTCGTTTCTTGACAAGAAACCCGTTTCTTGACAAGAAATCCGTTTCTTGAACATCAAACAGATTTCTTGAACAAGAAACCAGTTTCTTGACAAGAAAACTCGTTTCTTGTCAAGAAACTGGTTTCTTGAGCATCAAACGGTTTCTTGAACAAGATGTAACATATTTTTTGCTCAATTAACTTTGCTCGTAAGAAACTGTTTATGAATTTTTTATTAAGATATTTTTTATTTATTTAATTTTTTCAAATGGACGTTGGTAAAGTGCGAATTGTTCACAGTGGTTTTTGGGATGGGAATGTGTACAAAAATGGAGAAACGGAAATGAATTTTTTATGTCTTAAGACGTCATCATACGAAACTTTCATGAATAGGGTTCATGACATTGTTCGTGGAGATAGAAACATGTGCGACTATCGATTTCACTTTTTAGTGGCCGGTGATAACGGAGAGGTAGAGAAGTGGCGTATCTCTTGTGAATCAGATATGCGAAATGTGTCTGCCATGTTCACAACACCTACCATCTATGTCACATTACAGCCGAAACATACTCCAAGTCCGTATACTCAGGCGAGTGTACCAATGTACCCTTCGTATGGCTATCCAGGTGGGTTTATGAATTTATTTGCTGCTCAGGGCCCACCTCTCTATCCATATGGTGCTGTGTATCCACCTATAATGAGTCAACCATCAACATGTAATCCGGGGAACAATGACAACATGGTGCCTGACACCTCTAAAATGGTAGAATCAAATCAACCCGGTGCCTCACGACATTCTCCCGAACATGTCGATTGGGGTGTGGATAGCGGGTTCAATGGGTATTCAACTGGGAATGATGAAGGTGATGGTGAAGGTCATGATGATGAAGTTGATGATGAATTTGATGATGGAGGTGATGATGAAGTTGATGATGAAGGTGATGATGAAGGTGATGATCCTTGCAATGATGATCTCCTAAATGAGATGGATGATAACATTGATGATCCAGACTTCATAATTGAAGAAGATGAAGATATCGACGACAATGTTGTGTCGCCCTCAAACATGATGGGTGGTATAAATGAGCATATTTTACGCAACAAGAAGAGTATAGCGATCCACAATGTTCCTCGGCTTGACCTTTCTGGAGGGGTTGCTATTGAAGAGGACGATTTGAATGAAATCGCTACTCGTTCGAGTAGCGGTTGGAGGATTCCCGAAGCCAATTTTCAAAATGTTGATGTTCATCCTTCGTCTGAAGAGTCTTCAATGATAGACCGTGAATTAGCCAAAGGCGTTGTCATTGAAAGTAAGGAAGACTTGTTGGTAAAAGTGGGTTTATACCATTTGAAGCATAAAGTGGAGTTCCGAACACCGAGATCTTCAAATTCTAGGTTAAAGGTTGTGTGCAAGCATAAAAATTGCCCATTCTTGCTTTCTGCGAATGCACTGACTAGAGGTAGTTGGAAAATTTCAAAATTTATCCATCCACATACATGTTCAGTTAACCTAAATCATTCAGCCCCTCGACAATTGCCTGCAAAGATCATTGGAGCATTATTCGCGCCGAAGTTGTTGACAGAGGGCCGAGTATTAAAGCCTGTAGAGATTATGGGTGACATGGAGCGTGATCATGGCATTCAGCTAAAATACGATACAGCTCTGAGGTCTCAAAACGCCGCCTACGACTTTATTTATGGAGATCACAAGAAATCCTGGGAACTTTTGCCGGCGTATTTTCATATGTCGATGAAGGAAAATCCTGGAACATCGGCATACATTGAGACAGATAAAGATGACGTGTTTGAGTATGCTTTTATTTCTTTTCATGCGTCTGCAGGCTTCCTCAGTTATTGTCGGCCCGTTATTGTGATTGATGGTACGCATTTGAAGGGTAAGTATAAAGGCATCTTATTTGTAGCAACTACAAAGGACGAAAATGAACAAATTTTTCCTTTGGCATTTGGTATCGGCGATAAGGAATGTCATAGTGCGTGGATGTGGTTTCTCCAAAAGCTTCGCTCCACTTTCGGATGTCCGGAAAATTTAGTAATTGTTTCTAATCGCCACCCGAGCATAAAGTATGCTATGGAGGTTGTCTACCCTGAAGCCGTACATGTCATATGTTCCTACCACCTTCGACAAAATATTCGAAGTCACGGGTCTAAAGCTGTTGGTTTATATATGAAAGCTTCATACACTTATTCTCCCGTTGTGTACGAAAAGTCGGTGGCCATGCTTGCGGCAAAACATCATAAAACATGGGAGGATTTGATTGAAGCCATTCCAACTAGGTGGGCACGAAGTCAATGTCCTGTGAGACGATATAGTTTCATGACGTCAAATGCTTGTGAGGTGCTTAACAATAGGTTGCGTTGGGCAAGGAAATTACCTGTTTGCTCATTGTTTGAATGTATTCGAAACATTATGCAAGAGTGGTTTCACAAAAGACGTGTCGAGACAGAAAAAATTGAGTGTAAAGTTCCTCCATCAATATCTAAGCGTTTAATGGATTATAAAACTGCAGCAGACCAAATGGAAGCTTCAAATATCAATCACTACATTTACCACGTGAAGGACGGGGTCAAGAATTTTGTCGTCAATTTGAATGATCGGACATGCACTTGTATCTCTTTCAGGTGGATTTATTGCCCTGTTCACATGCGATTAAGGCTATCGGGTAATTTTTTCATTTTTTTTTTAATTTAATAAAAGTCTCAACGTTTACATACATATTTTTATCTTACACATGTGGTAATGTTTTCTATGCATGTACCATTTTTAGGAAGGCAAACGAATCGGTGTATGGATATGTGCACGACTACTACAAGACCACAACATGGCGCAAACTTTATGAGCCCATAATCATGCCAATTGCGCATCCAAGTACTTGGGACTTAACTACATCACCTAGTTTGATGGTTGTCAAATGCCCTATTAATCCCAAGCAAGCCGGAAGACCGAGGTCAAACCGCATACCTTCTACTGGCCCTTCTTCGAGCTCTCGAAGTAAATCATTTTGTACACGATGCCACGAAAGTGGGCATTACTCTACAACTTGTGTTTCCTTAGTCCAAAATGTTGAGCAACCAATTCAATCTGGACATCCCGCTACCAAAGTTCGTTTGTGTGGTAAATGTAAGCAACCTGGCCACCGTAGGAACAAGTGTCCTCAAAACATTACCTAGTTTATATGCTTTTTTTCCATTTATATGTTATTTTTTATGGATCGTAAATGAATGTTTTGTTTGTGGGAAGACATAATTGGGTTTTAATTTGTATGATTGATTTGTGTGTGGTTAATGTAATAACTTTGTGGGACATATTGATGTGTGTAGTTTTGTTATGTTTGTAGTAGTTATTTTTAAGATGATTGAAAATTGAAGTGAAGTGTGTGAAGTCCCTAAAATTTTGAATGAATAAAATTAAGGAAAAAAAAAATAAGTGGTCGCGGCCGCGGGGTGTTTCATAGCCGCGGCCGCGGCGAGTATTTTTTGTGTCCCAAATTTCAAGTTCAGCGCAAAATATATCACGGCCTCGGATGTGTCTCGCGGCCGCGGATAGTGGTCGCGGCCGCGGAGAAGTTCTTGGTCGCGGCCACGGCGATGAATAGGTACGTTCATAGATTTTGGGTGATTGCTCAAGAAACTGGTTTCTTGGCAAGAAACCAGTTTCTTGCCAAGAATCCAGATTTTCGCTCAAGAAACCAGTTTCTTGTCAAGAAACCAGTTTCTTGGCAAGAAACCAGTTTCTTCACACAAGAAACCAGTTTCTTGGCAAGAAACCAGTTTCTTGTCAAGAAACCAGTTTTTTCGCACAAGAAACCAGTTTCTTGTCAAGAAACCAGTTTTTTCGCACAAGAAACCAGTTTCTTGGCAAGAAACCAGTTTCTTGTCAAGAAACCTGTTTCTTGGCAAGAAACCTTATTCTTGGCAAGAAAGAAACCTGGCGCAAATTTTGAAACTTGTTACGACAATCCCCTAACCCTAGATAGAGGATTTAGTTACTCATAGCGATCTGAACACAAACATTCATATTAAAGAAAGCCATGACATTCATTAATAAAACGAAAATAGAAGCTTACGATTAATAAGAAGGTTCAAAGTCAAAATCCTAGTGCAAAACGAATCCGAAAATAACAATCCGAAAAATATGTTCTGGAGTTCAAAAGTGCGAACAACATTCATAAACTAGGATAGAACATAATGAAAATGTGCGAACAACATTCAAAGCCCAGTGAAAAGTCACTGTTCATCCGAAGGTGGTGGTGGCGGAGGGGAGGAAAGGCTGACTGGGTTCCGAGGTCCAACGGGTTTCCCACTGGGTGAACCTCTGATCCAAGATGTCCATCCGAGCATCCTGTTGTTCTTGCCGCTCGCGAATAGACCGGAGATCGTCATTAAGGCTGTCGAAGCGGTAATGATAGAGCAGATGTCGGACGTGTACTGAGTCTGAAAAGTGGACCACCATGCCGGTGGCTGCTGGATTGGAATCTCGGGCTGTGGGATCGGGGGTGTGCATATGGGTGGATGTGGGAGGGAATGGGAATCGTCGACGTTCATTTGCTCATGCTCGTCTCCGTCTGTCGGCTGCCGAGACGAGCCTGGCTGATCGGAATCGGGCGCACTCTGCCGGAGCTTTTTGAAATAGGTCTCGTAAGCCTGACGTTTCGTATACTCCTGAGCTGTGGTGCGGTTCTTGATGAGGTCAGCCTGCTTGAGCTCATTAAAATTAATACATCGCATCTGAGTCTTGTCTGGTCCCCACGTATCGTCATGCAATGTGTAGGCCATAGGATCGATATCGAAATGTTTGGCGAGTGCGGTAACAAAATGACCAAGTGCCGGTGCTCCACGCCAATTGAGTGCAATCTTTTCTAAGGTGTTCTGCAGGAATGTCATAGAGCACACTTGCACACCCGCCCTCATCGCCCATAGGAGAAACAGCTCGACCTCACTGACTTTGTTTGCTTCTTATTTCCCAGAAATGTTATAACATATAAACCTGTGCACAACGGCAGTGGTCAGGTCCTGAATAAGGCCGTTGGACATGCCGGCTGAATCCCAAGTCGTATGCGGGGAAAGCTCGGCCCAACTCCTCTTAGCATCGAACTCGATGGCCTTGCTTCGCATCCCAGCTATGGTGAACCCGCAAACATTCTTCATCACGGCATTGTCCACTGTCAAGTCCTTCCCTTTTAGCCGACAAGTGAAGTATTCGTTCCCGTCGGCGAGAACAAATGAGCTATAGAACTCAAGCATGAGGCTTCGATACGAACTCTCCTCAATCTTGGCGTACTCAGTAAGGTTGAGGACCTTAAGCTACTTCATCACATCCTCAAGAATACCTAGGTCGTTCAGGAGGTCCCAATCCACTGCTTTTGGCCTTACCACCTCTTTTTGCGAGAGGCGGGCATAAATTTCACCCTCCTTTCTCGAATAAATTGGGAAGAGAGCACCGTATTGGTCTGAGATATCATCCCGTTGACCTTCCGGAAGGGCGTCACGGGACGAGGATGATGTCGCTTTTCGCTTCTTGGCCGACTCTTGGGTGGTTTTCTTCTTAGCGGGACGTATTGGAGTCTTGCCCATGTGAAAAGTCTCTGGGGCAATTTATCGAACACTTAGCACGCAAAGGTTTGAAGTTGGATCTTTTGTAACAATGAACAATGGTGGAGGGGATGCCAAACAATATACTTTCACAAAGCAAAATCAAAAATATACTTTTGTAACAAGTCTCAAGTCAACATCAACAAGCCCAAACAATATACTTTCACAAAGCAAAATCAAAAATCTCGGTTACCGGAAGGAAGAATCTCGAAGACTCGGTGAAGGAGGGCTCGATGATGATGGAGTGCTTTGCGACCGACTTTGATGCTGTTGATGGCTGGAGGGGACAAATTCCGGCGAGCCTTGCTTGTGGGAGACGACCCCGATAATGATCTCGGACGGATCAGACGTTGGCTAGGGTTCCCGAGTGGTAGTTACAAATTCTCTGTAAACTCGCTAGGGAGGATCCTGGGATGAAGTAATTTCGATTGCAAAGATGAATACTCGATACTTTGCAATGATTTTGTGAAGTTTTGATGAATTTGATGTTTGAGCGGAAGCAAGAAAAATCGCGGTCGTGTGTTAGGGTTTTCAAAGGAAAGTTAATGGGTGGTAATGGCCAAAAATCTGCACAAAGAGAATTAAAAGTCGAGACCTCCGCGTCCCGCGACTATGTGAGGGTCGCGACTACAGTGTTCGCCGCGGCCGCGACATTACTCCGCGGCCGCGAGTTTTAGAGGCATGAACTATTTGTTGGGACCAACAAATTAACTCGCCGCGACCGCGGCGAATATACGCTCCGCGGCCGCGATCTACATCCGAGGCCGCGACAATACTCCGCGGTCGCGAGTATTAGAGACAGGAACTTGCAGTTGGGATCATAAAATTAACTCGCCGCGACCGCGGCGAATAAACGCTCCGCGGCCGCGATCTATATCCGCGGCCGCGACAATACTCCGCGGCCGTGAAGTTTTGAAACAGGAGTCTGATATCTGGGACCCAAAAATAACTCGTTGCGGCCGCGGCTAAGTAAAGCCCCGCGTCCCGCGGCGAAGTTTTTTTTTGTTTTTTTTTGTGTGTTTTATATAGTTCAACCAACAAATTGCATCTCACCAATTGTAATAGTTTTTCTCAGATTTTACGATTGTTTACAATCAAATAATTATTTAGGAGTAATTTCCTTAGTACGTTCAAATTTTCTTAGTACGGTTTGGGGAGCACCTAGACCGGACATTCACCTTGTTAAATAAGCTGTTTCCTTCTCAATGTTCAACAAAATCAACAACAAACTCAATATTCAAGAAATTCAACAACATGAATCAGTCTACCAAATTACCAACATAATGCAAATTCCACACAAAAACAACAACAATATTCACAGATGACAGTGTAGACATATTCAACCCACAAACAACATAAATACAAAAATCCAACAAAGGTTTAGTTTGATCCCACAAGCTTTCCGTTTGCAAAAATAGCTAAAGCCATCTTCTTTCTGTACTCTGCAATATCTTTTGTAGTCGGTTTGTTCGGAAAGACGTCCCCAAGCATGCGCTCTATGTACATGCATGCTAACGGACCACAACTGAAGGTATCATCCTGGACTAATTGCTCATCTGCGGGCATAATCTTAACTGTGAAAGGGTAAGTTATAGGTTTTACCCTCAATTTCTGAAAATAGCCCGACTGTTGGAGTAAAAGTGGCAGCAAGTGGGTAAGTGGGGCCAATGTCTGCGCTCGACTTTGCAAGGACTCCTCAGGATTGTGGGCCAAGGAGTCGTAGACATTGATCTCCCACTTCTTTATGTCCACACGGCATACCACCCAGTGGTCACCCACGTTACATACCAAGACGACCTGTCCAATTGCATCCACACATTATCAATTAAAAACTTTTGTAGAGGTTGGATAAATTGCCGGAAACCACTATTTCATAATAAAAGCATCACTAATAAATCCAACTACTTACCTTAGAATCTTGAAGTCAAGGTTTACCCCAACTAACAGCTGTACCACGCACATATTTAATGATGGACTCAGGTGCCTTCCAATCGGTATAGACACTTGTAAGCTTACCCCACTCTAGCTCGAACAAGCTCTGATAAAAATGTTTTACCATTAGTTAAACATTGTCAATTTAAAATATTGATATTATTCTATATTTATTATAACAATACTTACAAATAGAGTTGCGTCTTGGATGTTAATCGCAGAACAAGGACCTGTTACTTTTACTTTCACTTTGTCGTACAATCTTCGGGCAATTACCTCAAGATATGGATTAATGTGCTACAACATTAAAGTAGGGGATCTTATTAATGTCAAAACAATATGGTTGAAAATGAGCATTAAAATCCACATAAAAGAATAGTACTTACAATATGACCAAGTTTTTTCCGAAATCCCTCAATATATTTGAAATAATCTCTTCCATGCAAACACTTAGGCGTCTGCTCAACGTCGATCCTAAATAAATAATAAACCAAAGTTATTACTGATAAAAAAACTATATTTTACAAAATGTAAAGATAATAAATCAACACTTACAGCGTAGCATCTTTACCCTTCATCCATTTTTTGTACGCGCGAGTCCATTTTTCCTCTTCGTCCTTCTGCAAGTAGTTCACAAAGGGCGAAATTACTTTTTTTCCCAAGAACCTCGTACGTCGTTGTTGTCGTGGCTCACTATCATCATCATTATTCTCATCAATCGCCTAGGAGTTTTTTAAGCAAAAGTATTATTTGTCCGAGATTCTGGAGAAATTGACAAATGCACAAACTTGCAACAAAAAAGGAGTTGTTGTACTCACCGCCTGCTCCACAGCCTCACGAGTAATTTCGACAATGTCAGGAGACTTCTTCTCCTCATCATCCTTCTCATCAATTGTCTGGGAGTTTTTGTAACAAAATATATCAGTTTTAGGAGATTCTAGACACATTCACAAATGTTCAACCTTGGAACAAAAATTAGTTGTTGTACTCACAGTGTAGTCAACAACCTCATGAGCAATCTCGACAATGTCAGGAGACTTCTTCTCACTATCAATAATCTCAGGAGACTTCTTCTCACTCTCATTAATTTTAGTGTTCACCGCCTGCTCCACACTCTCAATAATCTCAGGAGGCTTCTTCTCCACATCAGCCATCTCATCAATCGCCTAAGAGTTTTGGCAACAAAAAGAAGTCGTTTACGAGAACATAAGTTTAATTCTGGAAATAATGTACAAATGTTCGTTTACCTCATTCTCAACCACCTGCTCCAAATCCTGAGGGGACTTATTCTCGGACCTCTCCTCATGAATCAACTAAGAGTTTTTAAAACAAAAAATATTAATTCCAAAAGAAACAAATTGTTATTCAAGGAAACGTTTTACAATAGTCAAATGCAATTGTAAATAGTTTACCTCATTGGCAAACACCTCATGCTCGTTCTCATCCTCTTCTTTCTTAGCCCCCTTCTCTTTCTCTTCTTCCTCCTCCTCATCATTCTTTTCCTCTTCCTCCTTCTCTTCTTTCTCCTCCTCTTCTTTCTTTGACTCGTTCTCATTCCTTTCTTCCTCATCCTCATCCTTCTTTTCCTCTTCCTTCCCTTCTTCATCTTCCTTCTCTTCTCTCTCATACTCGTTATCAACCACCTAAGAGTTTTTCGAAACCAAAAATATTAGTTTAAATAGAAACAAATTTCATTTTCTGGTAAAAATTCATAAATGTGCAAATGTCAAAAAACTTACCCCATGACCAAAAGTTGGTACCGCCGGATTGAGAGGACCGCTTGATTCTCCTCGAGTGGAGAAGGCCGCCTGAGAGGACTGCTTGACATCATTTTACAAAGAATGAAAAAGTTTTAACTTACCAAAAATGTCAAAAATGCCACGTGAAATGCAAAAGTTAAGAAGTTACCCCATGACCAAAATATGGAGTGGATGGACTCTCAGCTCCTCTAGTTTTATCCCCAGCTCTCGAAATACCATAATTATCCAATCTTCGAAAAACCTCATGAAATACCCGATCAATGGCAATGGGGACGACCTGACGTAAAGTTTGTTCAACTATCGAAGGCATCAACTCTTTCATGCAATTTGAAACGCCTTCCTCCACCCATTGCTTGATTAGGTCTTTGTCCATTCAAACTGGCTCCTTCTGAGGCTCCCTTGGCTCATTTTGAGGCTCTCTCGGCTCCCTCTCCATCTCTTCTTCAGCTTCATCATTTTCTTCTACAGCCAGCTTCTTCGAATGTCTGTTCGTTGGCTGTCCAAGCTTCCTTTTTTTGGTGGCAAGTGTATGACGTGAAGACGAGGAGGCATCACGTAGCGGCTTGCAACAACTCTTCCACGAGTCATGGTGGATATATTGCAACCCCAGTGATAAGTCCAATTCAACATTAGCCATACATGGCGAATTCCTCTCGGCATCAGTCAAACACATTGGTATGCATTGAATCTATTAAGAAAATGCCAAAAAAAAAA